TTATGGATTTCCAGGTAATTCAAAGACGTAGTGACATTATTATAGACTTCAATCAACCTTGGGAAGAATTCAAAAACGGGTTTGGCTGACATGTAGATTGGAAACCAATTCATCCATGAGGTAACAACATCTGAAGATTTCAAACTATGTTTGGATTTGGAAGGCATTAACGGAAACACGTAAAACTGAACCTTGTGCTATCATTGAGGGTAATGCTGGTAAGTCTTCAAATTTCACTTTTTGTAGAAAGTGAATAGATGAGTAGATGAGGAGAGAATTAACGCAGTATAAGTTAGAAACATATGGCCCATCCTACAGACAAGTCATCAGTGGTATTGTGTATCGTGGGAACATTCTCCTTTGGTTATCATTCACGAACAACCAAACAATCCACATTTATTTCGGATGGCAATCAATCGCCTCACCATGCCTCAGCCCCAACATGGTTGGGGCTAATGTAATATTATGTATGGCAGTTCGCCATGTAATGCTCAAGTTGTTGTGCCCGATTCCAATGTATGTTCCGGATGCAAAGACTGGATCTTCACTATGATTGTAGTGATATGACAAGCGAGATGGTTTACCTTTAAATAACTGAACTGACTACATCTCTTCTGGTTATAATGCAAAGCGTTTATTCACACTGCGTTATATATACAATATATACAGGTAGGGTTGTGAGACGTAGTGTTTCCTTACAGGTATCAAAAGGAAGTCTTTTCTGGATAACTAATACTTTACTTTTCATACAAGCTTGGGGTGTGGTGGACTTTCTCTGATTGGTTGAAAGATATCACCTTATCCTAATCATTTGACTATTACATCATTTTGGGGAGTTTCTATTGGTCAGATAATATAACAACTTTGGGGGTAGAACTTAACTTATATTTATTAACGAGGTGTCTCTCAATCGAGCTTATTTTATAAATCAAATGCAAGGAGTTGACCACTTGGGCTTTTTGTCATGAATTGGCTATTGTCCTGTCAAAGACTTCATATATAATAATTAAGGAGACATTCAAGGTGCCCACTGAATTAGTGAGGTAATGGAGTAGTGAGGTAAAAGTTCAGTCCAATGGTTTTATTGATTTGGCCAATATTCGTAAGTTATCTTAATACTATATAACATCCCTTTCAATAATTTTTTTAACGTTATGACATAAGGTAAAATATACTACAATGCATTAATAAGCATAATGTGAAGTAATATCACAATTCATTATAAAAATTAATGCGTTAAACATAAAACATAGCATATAACATTATAAAAAAAATTAAATTTGGTAGTGCAAGAATAGATGAATACATGTTAATTCCATCAAATTCTCTTCTTCACTCTCTCTTTCTCTCCATTCTTTTCTTAAAAAATACAAATGAATAACATTTTTGATTTTCGAGGTTAATCAATCTAATACGGTTTGTTGTTTTTGGCATGTGTCTTAGTGTCATCGATGTAACATAAGATTATATTTAAACGTCTAGTCTTGTCATATCCGACGTGTACGATCAAAACTTAAACTACAAAGTAAATAAAAGGAATATTCAAATGAGATTCACCACACTTTGCGACTAGTTGTTGAGATATGTCGGCCCGTCCGTACGTATTTTAATTTTATATACGTTTCGTGTAGTCTTTCGACTCTACACCACCCTCAAGTGTGCTTTTCATATTAATATTGAATATAATGTCAATGATTAACTAAGACATCCAAAGTAAAACGTTTGTCGTAAGAATGCGTGACAATCGTGCATTTCGTTAAGAAACAAATTTTCCTCTAATAATCAATCGATATACATTTTTTATCGTTATCATTATTAATCCTAGACGTTTCATTACAAGTAAAATATGTATGTTAACAGATTTATAAAAATTGCGTTTTGTAACGTCTTACATTAGCAATCAGTTATTATCTAAGACAGCAACCATTTGGTTGTTTTTCTGTACATAATATTTTTAATTTACTTGCATGTGAAGACTCAACAAGTGATCAATCTTTTTATTTAATGTCTTATCGAAGTTAGGATTTAAAAATGTAATCTCATCTGAGTTAAATTAAACATTTCGTATTATGAAGTTACAAACTCATAAAACAACTATAAATGAAAATCAAATCAAATATGGTAGTGTATGTTAAGCAGTTATGCGAGATTCTATGCATAATTATAGCAGGTTGTACTCAGTAAATTTCGTGATACTGGTACTCAATAATCTCCTGTTTATATAATATACACTCAAAGTAGACTTTCATACAATCATTACAATTGAAAACATACATAAATATATGATCGTCCATATATTTTGTTTAATTCTAAATCGTTCAATCATATTAGTAATTCGTTATGTTATACAACTTCTTTAAGAACTGTTTTGGCGAACCGCGTATTTGTATTTTGTTTTCAAGCAAAATCTGTTTAACTAAATCTTTAGTATCGGTGTATCTATCAATATTCCACCAAAATCTACATTCTTTGAATTTATATACCTTATTGCTAAGGTAATCTGTATCGAGTTTTGTGTACGAAACCAATACTTGTAAATGACCCGCTTTAAATCTTGCTCGTATTAAGGTCATAGTTGTATCGACTGGAGCTTCTATAATCAAAATGGATTGTCGTTTAATTTGCTCCTCTTTCAATGGGTATATGGTACAGCTAATCCCATATTATTCTCAATGTTGTCGACATATGGTTTGTAGTCAATTGGTTTCACCTTAGTGGTGCACATAAGATTATCTGAATTTAATAAAGGAAGTTTGTTATCATGCTCGTCGATGAATTCAAGTATTTGAGTGTTATTATTGATCATATTAATGTCATTCTTATCCTTTGTATCATTGTTATTATCCTTATTTATCAACTGTCGCAACTTGTGAATGTGTGTAACATTCTTTCTTTCGTCTGTAGCCCTCATGAAGCAATGTTTTAGTCTGTTATAGTTAAATACGTCACGAAGTATATCTCCTTTAAGAGTTGCTAGAATGTAATGTGTTCTATCGAGTACTTCATGTATTACTAACGGTCCGACCCAATCTGCAGATATTTTCTTGAGTTTGCTGTCAAAGAGGATGATGTTGGTTTGTACAGGTAGACTAATTGTCCCACGGAATAAATTGGATTCCTGTCTAGACGTTGTGAAATTGTGGCATTTTGAGTGTCCTGATTTGTTCGTTGTAGTGTGAGCATGGTCTTTGAAATGTGCTGTAATTTCTTTTGCAGGTGTTCAAGGTATTTCTCATAGGAGTGGGATAGTCCCGATATAGGGTGAAAGGACAATGTTGTCAAATTTGGAGGTTGCCTTCCGAACACTAGTTCATATGGAGAATGATCACCTAGATATGGTGATGAGAATGAGTTGTATGCATAACATGTTGTTGATAGGAATCGAACCCAATCTGTACCGAATTGATTAAGGTTCATTTTCAAAAGGTCTGATAATTTTCGAATGTGACGTTCAACTTGTAAACTACCGTGATTTTGTACACTGACAATTTTTCTGTCGATACGTAGCGTATTGCATAATAATGTTAACAATTTACCTGTTAATGATGCGGCTGCGTCTGTGATGAGACGAGTTGGAGGTCCAAATATGCTTATTACCTTCTGAATTAATGCTTCACAAATTGTTTCTGCATCAAGTGATCTTAAAGGTACACATATTAAGAATCTTGTGATTTCGTCGCATACTACCATTATATGTTTAAATCCTGATGGTGATACTGGCATGCTTTTAAAATCTAGACTAAGAGTGTCGAATGGGCGATATGCATCGGGTACCCTGTCATTTAATGCTCGAAGTTTGTCAGTCTTTGGTTTAAATTGTTGACATCGTAAACATGCTTTAATGTAGTTACTAACTTGTTTGAACATATTGGGAATGTCGGCTCTTCCACCATGTAATATTACGTATGGCAGTTCGCCATGTAATGCTCAAGTTGTTGTGCCCGATTCCTGTATGTTTCGGATGCAAAGACTGGATCTTCACTATGATTGTAGTGATATGACAAGCGAGATGGTTTACTTTAATAACTGAACTGACTACATCTCTTCCGGTTATAATACAAAGTGTTTATTTACTATTCTACTGCATGATATATACAATATATACAAGTAGGGTTGTGAGACGTAGTGTTTCCTTCAAGGTATCAGAAGGAAGTCCTTTTCTAGATAACTAATACTTTACTTTTCATACAAGCTTGGGGTGTGGTGGACTTTCTCTGATTGGTTGAAAGATATCACCTTATCCTAATCATCTGACTATTACATCATTTTGGGGAGTTTCTATAGGTCAGATAATATAACAACTTTGGGGGTAGAACTTAACTTATATTTAGTAACGAGCTGTCTCTCAATCGAGCTTATTTTATAAATCAAATGTAAGGAGTTGACCACTTGGGCTTTTTGCCATGAATTGGCTATTGTCCTGTCAAAGACTTCATATATAATAATTAGGGAGACGTTCAACAGGTGCCCACTGAATTAGTGAGGTAATGGGGTAGTGAGGTAAAAGTTCAGTCCAATAGTTTTATTGATTTGGCCTATATTCGTAAGTTATCTTAATACTATATAACACTAAGGCGAGAAAAATTTGATAATATGGACCTCTAGGTGCCGGGAAATTGCACTCTCATACCTTAAAAATCTTACCGGTACTAGACCCATGTTCATATCAACAATACAGTTATTTTCTTAATACAATTTAAGGGGGAGTGATGGTACCGTCTGCACCCCCCGGCATCTGCCCCAGCAGATTCAAGGGGGCCCATCCGGCCGACCCTCGCTAAAATTTTTAACATTTATAAGTGGAGAAAAAAGAAAATTATATTATTCAAAGTTAAGTCTTGAGAGTGCCATTTCCGGCCAACTAGAGGGTGCCATAATCATTAATCTGGCAATTTTGTGACAATTTTGTGACATGTCTTGTGATGCCAAATAAATAATCATAATAATAAATGATGATGATAATAATAATAATAATAATAATAATAATAATAATAATAATAATAATAATGGTAATGATAATGATGATGATAATAATAATAATATTAATATTAATATTATTATTATTATTATTATCATCATCATCATCATCGTCATCATAACTACCAAAGATTTGTAAGGAGAGTGTCATCTGAGTGTTTCCCTGTTGGTATTCGCTTTGACGTGAAAAGAAGTGGATATCAAGCCCGTAGCCAAAGAGGGAGGGGGAAGGGCCATTCAAATTTAGCTCCAACAATGGCGGTACTGAGGTGGACGTGGCCCTTCCAGTTCTTGGTCGGCCCCACCCCCTGATCAACGAGTTTAGCTAAGGGGCTTCTATCCCCCACTTTAACATGGCCATGAGGAACTTTCAAACTCATTGGAGAATTGACGATTGGAAATATTAGGAAAGGCCAAGTAACACAGAAGAAAATAACGTCTTTCTTTATGTAAAGGATGCACACTTACATACCTAAGACTAACTTTAGGCAAATAAAGTGTAAATGTTTACTTTACAGTAAGCTGTTCATAATTTTTTTCAATGTGTTTTTAACAGCTTCAGGTTGGTCAAAACAAATTTAAAAGCAAATACAGTTTCTCTAAAATAAATAAATGGTTATCCCATGTTGTCTTTTGGAGACCACTTTTATTTTCGGTCTTCATTTAGAGGTTTCAGGTTCGATTACCCTCCAATTACGTTGCTTGGAGACTACTTCAAGTCTGTGGTCTCTAATTAGGTGTTTCTAATTTGAGACCGAACCCCGAGATCACCCCCAAATTCCAGATACACAGAGTTGTCTGGAATTGGAGGGCGGACTGTTTTTTTGCATTCATTCATAATGGTATATTTATTCAAAATCATTTCATTTCATTTCTTTGGTCCAAAGAACAATAAAACTGACAAAAAAAATGACAGAGTGAGAAAAATACCTCAATTTGATTGCGAAAAAGTAAACTAAATCACGTTCTAGTGGCTCTCTGATGCCAATGAGAGCAGTGATTACATAATAAAGTAAAGTAAATATAAGCATTCATTATATAAATATATATGTAAATTTTAAAAGCATCTACGAAAACATTGTCAAAACGTGCATTTGATTAATAATAATAATAATAATAATAATAATAATAATAATAATAATAACAATAATGATGATGATGATTGTAATGGAAATACAATAATTGTAGTGTACCATCAAAATTTACAATGCAAAATACTAGTTAAAACATCAATATTTCTGAGAATTAAAACATAACATTTACAAAAAAGCAGCCAATGTTAATAAAACTACAAAATGTTATACAGTATATGATATATTTAACATTCTGGGCAGGGTATTCTATTTTCACAAATAGCACAACACCATAGATACTGCATATTGGTCAACTGAATGCTCTCATATAGCGTGTCCGCATAATAATAATAATAATAATAATAATAATAATAATAATAATAATAATAATAATAATAATAATATTTCACGTTTTAATAACAGTTGCATTACACAAGCTACATAATAGACCTACATCAACATTATAAGAATAACAATAACTAGTTATAATAGGCCTACTAACCCGACAACGACGATGATGATAATTATGATGACGATGATGATGATCAGGGGCGGCGCCAGAATTTGACCTACGGTGGGTTCGATATCCCCTGGGGAAAATGTCCCCAACGAGACCAAATTGGGGGTGGTCGGGCGTCGATCAAAATCTTTCGAAAGTGGCCCGGGGCCACAAATATGAAAATTTAGGGGTTTCAAAGGCTCATTTAATCAATTTTCGAGAATCTACCAATAACATGTAGAACATACATGTAATTTTTTTCTCTCGGACAAATTTTGGTTTTTCTCCCCGACTGGGTCGGGGGGGGGGGGGAACAACTCTCCCCGACGGGGCTCTCCCCTCTTCTTCACCGGCCGGCACCACCCCTGATAATAATGATACGAAAATTATGATTACGATACTGCTTATGATAAAGTAGAGTTTTCGCAAGCTTACGAAAGGGATAACGAATACGGTTTTGTCATCAATATTTAAACAACCCTTCCCCTACAGTAGCGTATCTGTCACAACGTAGGAGATTCATGTCTTTTGCATGAATCAAGGGTCATATTCAGCTCATACAACATATTGTTAAGAATGTTATAGGCACGAATGACGATAATGATAATGACGTATTCGTATTCGTTATCGTTGTCGTTATATTGATATTGGTGCACTGTAGCATTTTGAAAGATTTTTCGCCAAATTATAATATATCAACAAAGTAAACAAGTATATTACAAATTCGAGCATGCCTAATTTTTTTTCAATAATGGTTGTACACTAACTGAGCAATCATGTTTCTCATTTGCGACAGCGATAATACATCAATATTAACAGACTCCAATTGTTGCATAGCACTCCGAATTCGTATACGTCTCTGTAGTTTCTTCTCTTGTATTACACGCTCACCGTCACTAATGAATACAATATCGCATGATAATGGCAAATACTTCCAAATCCCGGTTGAATAGATTTCATAATCACAAATAGGATTATTATAAAGTATCAAGCTCTTTAATTCCTGGGGTTTTTCTTCCATTTTTTCTAAGTTATCAACAAAGTTGTAAATAATCGCTAGCCTTATGGCACAAGTAACCAACCTCAAAATTTCAAGCGTTGGGAATATTTCCAGAAGCGAAACTAAATTACCTCCTACCTTCCTGTTTCGAAATCGTGTATACGACATATCAATCTCAGTTAGTCGAGGAAGCGAGTGTCTCGATCCCTCGTCACGCAACACACATACAAAAGTCTGCAGATGATCTCCAGTCAATTCACTGCGTCTCATTAACAGCACTTTTAGACTTGGTAGAAAGGGAATGCAGACTGCTAGATCTCTCATGCAACAACGTAAATACATATTACGACTGAGATTGAGAACTCTTAGATTAGCACCTGCGCAACCACTGTGCAACTTGCGGAACAGATCCCTATGTAACTCATAAGCGTTGGATTCGGGCATAGGCCTACTTAAATTCAGACCTACACTGTCTTCTGGAGAGTATTTTACAAAACATTCAACTAAGTTAATGTGTTGACTGTTGAACTTAAATTGGGAACCTGACAAGTTTAGTTTACAGATTTGTGTTCTGCAGCCGAAGAACTCGCAGACATACGTTGGAATCTTGCACATAGCTAAACTAATTGCACTTAGATTAGGAAGACGAAGAAGTGCATTGGCTAAGTTTGACATATCCCCTATGTTAAATCGATGTCCAGAAATATCTAAAAAATTCAAACCATAATGAGCCTCTTTTTGTTGCATCATCGAAACTAAAAATGGGGTTAAAAAAAATGTTCCCATTTTAAATCTGGACACATCAATCCACTTGAGTTTGTGTAATTGAAAAATGAATTGACCATGCATAGCCCCTATTTTAGATGAATCGTACTTGCATTTTATCCTGAATTTAGAAAATTTCATAACTTCTAAGTGGCAATGGACAAACTCTTGATGAGAGACAACGTGGCCTACAAAGTTCATGTAGGTAGAGCCATCAATAACACACATTGATGCATCGAAAACGCGCAATTTAGGTAAGTTCATGAAAGCTTCTCCAATGACAATGCCTGAGTCAAACTTACATTGTACAACTAACTCTGTGAGATTACATCCGGCCGAAAGATCACAAATTTGTTCACATTTGAGCTTAAAGTTACGCATACTCAATTTAGAGACTGACTTAAAACATCTTAATAAGAAAAAAACAGAAGTATGTATAGATGCAGAACAGCTAAAGTTAATTGAATTCAGATTTTGCAGATTTAGGCCTGTATTTTTTACACAAGACAAAAAACTGTTGTAGTCATCTGAAGTCGAAAAACATTTTCGGAAATCAATTTCCTTTAGTTTTATGCAACTTCGAAGAATATCTACGATTTCCTTAAAACGGTAATGCTGTTGAAAGTTTGAAATAACTTGCGATTTTTTTAAACAGTTGTTGAGTGGCAAGTGTTTGGACAATGAAAGTAACATATTCCAGCTTGGAAGTAGCGCATTTGAACTGGCCGTACTTTTAACCAACGCGACAAATTCTGGTGCATTCATCTTCACAGTTCCTTCAATAGTGTTATTTGTAATTGTGATTTTCTCAGTGTGACAAAAAAAGTTCTTGCGTTGTTCACTGTCGCTCTGTAAAGGGAATGCCACTACCTTCAAAATGTTTATCTCTGTAAATCCTGACAATATAGTTACGGCATAGGGATTTCCAAACATTATGCAAGGATGAACAAATGCCCTTTTCAGTCGTAAAATGCCGTTTAGCTTTCGGAGGAAATCCAGAAATTGTCGAATACGACATGGAGGAAATCCATACAGGTAGACTTTAAGCCCCAATTTCATTACGTTCATTAGTCTTTGAAGCTTATGCCTTGTGCATCTCACTGTATTCTTTTTATAGCTACGCATATTTGGTAATGTAAATGAGAGTGTGCCGTCACTATCAATATCCATATGATTGGACCAAGGATCTGGCATATTTGCGATGGTTTTGGCAAGAACATTACAGGCATGAACATCTGTCAACGGGTCTCCAATCGATATATTTAATCTAGTCAATATCTCCGCTGTTTGTAGCTTTAGATTTTTCTCGGACAGTAGGGTCACAACATGCTCAAATGGAGGAATTGTAACAGAGCTAACAAACGAAAACCGAGATAATATCATTCCTATGCCTTCTAAAAGGGAATTAATCTCAAGGGGATCGGTCACCATGTTATTGAGCGTGAATGTCAAGTCTGAAACTTTTAAGGGTGTCTTTCCGATGCTCAGCATGTTTAAAGTCAATGCTTCACATGGCAGTGACAACGATTTTAACTTCCTTTTGTAACAGAGACTTGAAATCAGAGCATCTACCGGTACCTCCCTTGTACTTGGATCAAACTGTAGGTTATTATGCCATGAAAGGTAGAGATCATTACGGGGTTTACACGTACTCTGTGACATAATTTGGAAGGGCGTTGCCAACCATAAGAGTTGCGGACATTCTACTTTTAACGTAGCACCTAGGCCGATATCATTTACTTCAACTATTATTGTCATGTGTGAATCAGACGGAGCCAAGAAAAATGCCGTTACCATAAACTTCATATCTGTTGATGGTGTTTGTAGAATGCCCGCAATACACATTGATGTATCGGATAATGACTGATGTGCTATGTACTCACGGAACACATGAAGATCTACAAGTTTTCTGAACAGAGTTTTTCTAAATTGTTGATTTGATTCATAAATATCAGTCGATTTCAAATACGGACACAGTGCAATAAATCTGCTGATAAGGAATGCATATCCATTATTTCGGTGTTCATGTGCATATGTCATTTTCAAAGTAAATGTGACGTGATTCATATGCTTATATCTAACTGGTTCTATGTGCTTATTTGACCCAACACAACACTGCTCATGTCCATAGAGAATAGACACAAATCTCAAGAGACCAGGACCATATCCTATTACAGGGAGTTTTAAACATTTTAAAGATTGAGTATTATATAAGAACATAGCAAGGTTATTACAGGCGTCTTTACTCTGTATTTCCCCCGTAAATCTGACTTCTTCCAAATCAGATGGTAAAGGGAACGTCAAGATAAACTTCTCAAAGCTTTCATCATACAAGTCATTCAATGAGAATATCTTTAGAGTTGGAATGTTGTGTAAAATTATATTAGCGTCTCTGCTATCCAACATATGACTGGAAAATATATTTAATTCGCATGTATTTTTAAAATTGTTAATTTTCTTACAAACAGACAAACCAGCTAAGTCCGATATCGTAATCGAACATACTTGATCCATTCTCAAACTAATTGATCCGTATACATTGCGAGCTTCATCTTCCGGACACTCATCTAAAAGAGCCGACAAAAAGGAACAGTTCAAATGTTTTAGATGAAAGTAATCCATAAAACGGCAAGCATCTTTTCCCAATAGAGCAATAGTAAATTTGCACACTTGTATCATATTTGCATTTGATAGCATACTGATAATTGTTTGTTTAATATCATCCTTTCCACTTTTAATAGCGTCTGCTACATAGAAACCGGCAAGAAATTCCGACTCGGATGCATGCATTGTCACGAAGCTTACTTGGTGACATACATCCGATTGACTAGCTTTTTCATTAAGCATTCCGTATTTTATACACGACGCTGTAAGTTGTTCATCGTAAAGCTCGTTTTCGTTGATGCGAAATCGGTTCTCAAATAAACACTTCAACACACATTTTCCAATATATAACATGGCGTTCCGAAATGACTCGTCGATGTCACTGAATGAATTTACCTTCTTTCGTCTAGAACATAGTCCCGATATGTTTCCAATTGTTTGATTTGCTCTGCAAACCATTAGGTCACGGTATAATTCAATAACTTTGGTTGGTATTCGTTGATTCACTTTCCACAAAGTACATAGGTAGAAGAGAAAGAGGGGCGTTTCTCCTACTATCTCATTTATGGGATCTAATAAAGACCTCTGTACCATAAATTGTTCAGCTTTCTCGGGCTCGTCTTTAAAGAATTTCTTTACGTATTCAGATTGATGGTCAGTTGAAAAACCTATAATTTTAATATGACAATCACAACACTTAGTTAATTCCTCCAAATTACCAGGTCTAGCGGTAATGAGAACAATGCTCTTCTGTAGACTTTCACCAGCAAATACACTCTTTAGGCCATAACAACATTCGTTACTTAATAATTCATTATATCCATCACATAAAAACACAAACATATCATCATTTTTTATTATAAACTTTCTGAGCATATCTCTTGTTATATCATGTTTTTCATGAAAGTCCGTTGGTAAGACTCTATGTATAACATGATTTACGAAGTCTTCTTGTTGTTGCAGAGGCCTATTCATTTTATTAAGTTCGACATACACGACTATATATTTCATAAACAAAGATTTGCCATCACATTTTGTCCATGAATGCGCAATCTTTTTCATCAAAGTTGTTTTACCGCAACCGAGTTGGCCTTGAATCAGAATTCGTTTTGAAAATTGTAGGTCCGGCTTACCACCAGTAATGTGCTTCTCACTGAATGCTGTCGCCTGTGATCTTCTCCTGTTGAAAGGTAGGCCTATTTCATCAACTGTAATGGGCTTTGCTTTATTTTCATTGCCATCTCTAGGATATTGAACCACCACAGCATCTGTATACAGTTCATCAAGGTTGATTCTTCTCGGTGATGCACACTGGTGAGGAGTAATAGACATGAAAGTCTCAAACTCGTACTTGGTTTGTAAAGCATCAATAATATCAAATCTCAATTTCATACCTTCAAGAGCAAGAAACATTAAGGAGTTTTTTAAAGGCATAGTAATTAAATAAAGTAATATTGTATGCACCAATATAATATCTGTCTCTTATACACATCTAGATGTGTATAAGAGACAGATTGTATAATGTAGGCCTAGGGGCAAATTTTAAGCCCTCGGTGCCTGGTCTAGAGAAGGCAAAGATAATGGATTGGACTTTAGTGCAAAATGGACCGAAGTTGTCAAATAAAATTTGATACTGTAGTTGGTAAAGGCCTTTAAAACATATTTCAACCAATATATTTACACACTACACACAGTGATAATATTCATGCAACTTACAAGTAATGCAATAATTCAGGTTATAGTCTTAACATACATACTGTAGCAATCAAAAATAATACTGTTGATTATCATGTAATCTACGTTTGATGAATACAGGCCACCATAACCTTTAGCCTGCTTTGGTCTCGGCGGTTAGGTAGATCTAGGCCTACTTGTATTTGAATGATAAACATTGGGGGTGATAAAAGGCTTGCATTGCTGCTGCACAACAATGTCCCTAACTCAGCTTAGCTTTTTTATTATTTATTCAATAAGTAAAGCAACAAAACTGGTGGATGACAAGTAGTGCCGTATTTTCTGAACTTTTCCACAGGTGAAATAATAAAATCGTACTAGAAGATCCTGTGGGAAAGATAAAAGCCCGCGTACATGTACTTAGCTGAGACAATTAAGTTGGTAACAACCCAATTAAAATCTGTTCAGAAGCTTTCTTTAAAGCCTTGTTATTTATTCAGTTGTAATGCATGCGCAGAATGGCTTATGCTAGCAATGATACCTGGCATTGTTTGTTTTTTTTTTATAGAATAAAAATGTATATAACGTAGTTAATTAATATTACTTGAAGGAAGATAAATGTAAATGTAAGATTATGAAAGTTAATTTAAATTTAATTTAATGCTTAACACATACTATAATAATGTTTATGAAACTGATAAGCCTGATGTCATGTTGGTATTGAATATAAATACTTTTGTATTGCACATTATAAATGCTATCTTATGTTAAGCGCTGATGATGAAAGAAATTATGTAAATGTGAGATTATGAAAGTTAATTGTAAATGTAATGTTAACCACATAATAATGG